CCTAAGACTATATAAAATGCCTCTTTCATTCTCTCTCTTCTTGATTCCCTTTCACAAATTTTCTCTTTTTATCTTCAGTTTTATACAAAGAAGTGTTTCTCTCTATATTTCTTCTATCATTTTTTGTCTCGCAAGACTAGTTGAAATCACTACTTTTGAAAAGAACAATGCATCTCTCTTCTGTATTCATTGGTGCTCTCACTGCACTCATCTCTGTTGTTCATGCAGAGAGTGTGGTTGCAAAGAGAGCAGATTTGGGCAATGCTTTTGTATTTATTTATTGCAATTTCACTGTCTTTCTTGATGTTGAGGCTGGCGGCGTTAGCACCCGGAGAACCCTTAACGGCAGAAATCATGATTACTACCATGAGCCATATGGAGGCGGCAGCGGCGACGGCGTCAGTTTAACACTATCTCACACGGAGGGTCGGGACAGTTCCAATTCACGAACGACATTCCGCTATAAATTAAGCGACGGTAATTCGACTGTCGGGTACAGTTTGGGGAATTCAGGTGGTAACCCATTTGAAGGGCATAAACTCACTCTCAAGCCCTCGGATGACCGTTGCCCCAGGATTGAATGGCCGGATGGCATCCCGACAGGCGTAAGCAGTGGCTCCTGCGGATCAGGCGCAAATTTGATCTTGACAATGTGCCCACTGGAGCGACCACGCCAAGAGTTTGAGGATGAGTAAAATTAAAATGGTATGATGTGTCTGTCCTCTGTCTTTTTTTTCTTCATGATTTGATAAGTATTTGAGGGGTTTGATGCTAATAATTGAGAGATAAGAAAATGAAACCTTTTTGTTTCATGATTAGACATAGTCACCTGCCAACTTCTCTTAACTTTAGTTAAATTTTTCAATTTGAGATTATGAAAGAAATCATGCAATCAGTAGCATAATTTGACTCATCTTATTGAGTCATATGACATGCTAATAAGGATCAAAGCATTGTTTGAGATATTTTGTGAATGTATTTAATCATTAAAGACAAACATGTATTGTTAATTTTCTCTTCAGTTCTTGCTAATTTTTTTCTTCATTAGCTCTCTCTCTTCCTTGTTATTTTATATATATAGAGTATGTATCTCTATTATTGCAACATTCAATAGAGTCTTAAATGTTATGAATTTATTTAAATACTTGATAATTACAGTTGTAGTAATCTCTCTTACATTTTAATTAGTGCTAGTTCTAAATATGCTAGTTAATCTTTATTATCTGATAGAGAGACATAATTAATGTAATACAATTAGTGAGACAATCAAGCTTTATCTCAGAAGTACTGTTAATAATTTCTCATACATTTGATACAGATTCACTATCTCATATTTTCTATAACTTCAGTATATATAGCAACTTAACTTTTCTGTTTATTATCAAATTTCCCTGTCATCTTCTCAAGCTTATGTCTGCTTTTAGTATAATAGAAAGAGAGTGAAAGAGAATAAAGATAAAGCTTCAAGATCAAGATCTATTTGTACTATATGTAATATTATTTCTCTCTCTCTGAAGAGCTGATGTTAACAGAAGTTTCATTAATTAATTATTAGAGGGATTCTGCAGCGCCAAGTCGCATGAAATATTTAGTACAGATGGTCTTTCTATACTGCGTATAGGCACAGATGCCACGATTCAGCGCTGCCGTGACATAGGCCTGGTAAATATGATATTCATCTAATTGACAACCTCTTGTCCGCCGGGTAATGAATATAATAAATCCGTCACTATAAGAAGCAGCTGCAGCTGGTATTGTCACTGCTGCTGCCAACTGCCACGGCCGCAGTTGTCTTGAACTCAAATAATAATAATACAAAGTGGGGTTTTTCATATTGATATTAGCCGCCCGTTTCATACACTCATTTTGTTTTGAATCTTGACAATATAAGGGCTTGATGGCATAAATGATGATGATATGAGAATTGTGAGTGCAAATTAGAATATAGATAATATGAATAGAGAAAGGCATAGATGAAGTTGTTAATCAATCTGTCTTATAAGAATATAAGATAGAAAGCGCCAATTACTATAACTAGTTAATACGAGAGGCTGTACGGCACTAATTACAGGCGGATACTACATATGAATGTGTCCGGAAACATCGCATGTATGAATTCACTATAGTGGCATTAATTAATTTACACAATGTTAAACTGTGTTAGTAATTACTACACCTACTCTAATCACATGTCACTCAACTTTCTTAGAGAATAACATTGTTATGTGTGTGTGTAATCTATCTACGCGTAGGTTGAGTGGCACGTTACTAAGATAGGTCTTGAAGAATAACATTGTTGTGTGTGTGTGTGTAATCTATCTACGCGAGTTACACTAAATAGGTTGAGTCGCATGTAACTAAGGTAGGTGTTGATGTAGACTACTGAGGCAAAAGAGCTCAATCATCACCAGCGCACTGCTGGTAGAAGAGCCGATCAACTCAGAACTCTTAACACTCTCTCTCAGACCAGCTATTACAGAGTACTTCTCTCAGTGACTTCTCTCAGTGACTTCTCTTAGTGGCTTCTCTTAGTGAACTCACTTCTAGAGCTTATTCTTTTAAAAGCTCACTTCTAGAGCACACTTCTGAAATGTCTCTTGACACTGTTTTAAATGTCTGAGATATTTATTTGAGATTTATATTCTTAAGTTTATTCTGAGATCAAACTCAGGTATATTGACCACAGCAGGGCTTATACTTAACAGTCTTATAATCTGTAGACTACTGAGATAAAAGAGCTCAATTATCACTAGCGCACTGCTGATAGAAGAGCTGATCAACCCGGAACTCTTAATAGTTAATAATTACTTGTAGCGTCCGCCTCAGTGGCGTTGCCATGGCGACCGCTCCGCCTACACGTGATCTCGAATATAATATATATATAGCTAGCTCTTCTCATATAAATACAACAGATTAATTATCTCACAGATTATAATCTGAATAGCATGTTTTTATAAAGAATTACATTATTTTTATTTTTATTCTTACTTCTGTTTAAAAACACCTGTGTAAGTATTGAATGTGTTTATCTTAAATAGAAGAATTCTTTTATTACATTTACTTTGCATGTTTTACAAGTATTAAATACTGACTTATACTTGCTTTACTGCTTACGCAGCTCTTTCTATCACTTTTACTCTCTATCTTTACTCTTCTCTTATCATCTCTTTCACTTCTTTCACTCTCTATTTTCTCTATTATTATCACTATCTCTACTGCTCTATAGATCTCTTTATTACTTTCACTCTCTATTTCTACTCTCTTTTTATTATCTTTATTATCTCTTTTATCTTTTAATCTCTCTGTTATTATTATTATCTCTATTACTCTGTAATTTCTCTTTATTACTTTCACTTTCTATTTCTACTCTTTTATTATCTCTTTTATTCTCTATCTTTTCTATTGTATAACTGTCTCTATTACTTTTTTTATCTCTATTATCTCTTTCATCTTCTAATTTCTCTGCTATTATTATTAACTTTATTACTTTGTAATCTCTCTCTATCACTTCTATTCTTTATTATCTCTTTCCCTTTCTATCTTTTCTGGTATTATTACTGGCTCTACTACTCTGTAATTTCTCTTTATTGCTTTCTTGTCTGTCTTTACTCTCGTGGTATGTGTTTGATCTCTGGCTCTCTATTATTATTACTATCTCTATTATCTAGTAATTCTCTTTATCACTTTCACTCTCTCTATTTTCACTTACTTTTATTATCTCTTTTATATCTTTCACTCTTTATTCTTTTTATTATTATTATTACCTCTACTTCTTCTACTACTCTCTTTTACTCTGTATTATATCAACAATCATTCACTATATTGCTCCACCACGAACTCGCTCGATTTTTCGAATAAGAACCCGCCGATAGGTCCATCGAAAAGCCCTCGATCATACGAGCATTTTGACCCCATCGCCGACCGCATACCCCGTGTGGTGGTGGAGTTATCCAGCCAAACGTGAACCAGACGTCGTTCGAAACTCCTGTGTGGGATTATCCCCCATTCTCCCCTACCACACCACAACCCCGGGCCAAATTACCATACAAATTGTAAGGTGAAGAGACCTAGCCATATGCACCAATCTTCTCGATTTTGGAAGATCCCCGATCTGTAGTTGTGGAGATATCTGAGGAGTGACCTCCGCGAAAACCCTGTCCATCTTTGATGTTCCAAAACACCAACGCCAAGTCCCACTCTCGTACCGCCCTTCCTAACCTGGCCCATCCCCAGCAGAAAAATACAAAAAGATACCTCGGTGATAATATCAAGCACATAACCAACAGCCACTTCTGAAGTGCAATCTCCGCAGTCTGTCTTCAGTGTATCTAGACATCAATGCCAAGTCTCACCCTCATACCACTTCTCTCAATCTGGCCCATCCCTGACAGAAAAGTACAAAAAGATACCTCAGCAACTGTACTCAATACATAATTGGCAGACATGACAACTATAAAATCAGTATACTTCAAGGTCTGACTGAGCCTTTGATCCCTGCATAGTGAGATATATTAAATCTAGTTTTAATATCTCAATATTCAATAGATTCTGCAAGAGATTGAGAACAGCAACACTAGATTTCTATTGAATTTGAGAATTAACTCTATATTAATATAATCATTGATAAAGTCTTCTATTTTGAGATATAAATAATCAGTTCCTCTACATTCTGCTGATAATATTTATATTATTATATAGAAACAGACTTATATTCTCTATAATATCAAGACTCTGAAGAGGGAAAGTCTTGATAGAGAGTATATAGTAGTGTATATCTTAGCAGTTTCTATCTCATTCTTCTGCAGCAGTTAATGCAAAAAAAAAAAGATCTTAGAAATAGTTTTTTACTTCTCTTGAAAAAGTAAGATGTTTTTCTCTGAGTTTTATACAATATTCTTACAAAGAATTAAAAGCAGAGTTATTTTCTGTCATAATTTCATATTCTTTTAAGTAAGAATTACTTTTTCAGTGACTGAAGAGCTTTCATTAATACTTAATTCTTTTTTACACTCTTTATTAACTGATTTGAGTTGCACACTTGTTGTGTGAGAAGAATTGAATAATTTAGAATAAAATTGAATAGTTTTAATCAATTTCTCTGCAAAAAATTGATTTATTTTTTGTCAGTTTTTCTCTCAAAAACTGTCATATCATCTAATTTATTGTCAATTGATATCATACTTTTTCACACTGTATTCTAAGAAAGAGATTGTAAAGATTTTATTAATTTATCTTAAAAATTAATTTTAGTTTATTAGATTCTCTTCAAAAATCTAACCTAGTTACTGAACTAGTGTGAAAAAAAATCAGATGTTTTATATACAAAAGTCTGTTATTCTTCTTTTGAAATAGTCTGACCAACTTTTCAATTGAAAACAGACTTAGAAATCTCTTAATTGAAACAGTCTGATCAACTTTTCAATTCAAAAGAGTTTAATAAATATCTCAATTGAATTAGTCTGATCAACTTTTCATTGAGTAAGAACAATGAGCTCAAAAGTACACTCAGTTGATGTGAAAAAGAATGCTTTCTCAAATACTATTCCTGAGATTGAAATTCTGAAGAGAAGAAAGAAAGAAGAAATAGAGAAACAACAAGTTCTTGAAATACAGAAACTTGAGAAAGTAAGTAAAATTCTTGGAAAGCAGTGTCTGAGTGAGATGAATGAAGAAGTTCTGTTAATTCTTCATACTC